ACAGCTCAGGTTCAGTGTTTCGGCGCCAGAGTTGAGCGGCAAGGCTGACGGTTGGACACGTACAGGGGAGAGATAGTGGATACACTGGGCAAAGGATGCTAAATATGGGGCTGCCAGGCAGGAGGAAAAGAGGAAAAGAAGATTCATGGATGTTGGTGTGACAGTAGAGGATGCTAGGGATAGGGTGAGATGAAGAAGAAGAGAGTTTCTCTTAACAGAACACAATTTTCTACAACTCCGTTTTTACATGAAAAACTCATCACGCAGACTTTGTACTACTCAATTGATAAGTTTAAAGTATTTATAGGGGACCTTCACTTTTTTCTACCAATATCTGTACTGTTGCCGTGTTGGATGATCATATTAAAATTGAAAAATAACTAAAATGAAAAATTAACAGGTTGTGTTTTCAGCAGTTTTGACAGAAAGTGAAATACATGTGCTGAACTGCGGAACATTAAATACTGCAAAGCGGTCCTCTCATTTATTAGACAAACCTTTCAAAACAGACCAGAGTCAGCACTTGAACATTCAGGGATAAAGAAACCAGGAACAGAGCTCACTATAATATTTTTCATAATATTCTGATTTACAGCTATGGGAATAATGTTAATAACAGCAGGTGTAGCTGATGTATAGTAGGTGAGTTTATAAGAGAAACTGTCATGTGAATGCATGCATGTCTATTTTTCTTTGCACAGGTAAGAGACAGCAGCCAGACACTCAGTGTTTCTACCCATCCCACCTCTGTGGAGGAAGTTAGAGGTGAGGAATCTGTGAGTGAACGCATCTCCAGCTCTAAGCTTCTCGGCTTTGGCTGTCTGCAGCACTCGATCTCCTCTCAGCCCAAAATTCCAGATCGTCTAGAGGACACAGCAACTGGGACTGAGATACTTGCCACTGCAGAAACTGAAGGTCAGCACACTAAATATAAACATACAGACGATAAATATGCTCTAAGACACTATGAGACAGTCATTTTCTTATTTTTTCTCATGCGCGTTTTATTCTCTTTCAGGTCAAAAAGTCCCAAAACAACAGTCACAAACATTAAAAGAGCCTTTAAGTAACCTAAAAATGCCCAGTTGTCCACTTACCATGAATTCTTTCAGCTCGTCTACTTTTTCTGGGACAGGAGCCACAGAGGCCATAACATTGAACAAAGGGGTTGATAACTTGAAAAGTGAACACAACCCTGATGTGCTTTCAGATCTAACTAATACTGCTCTCTCTGTGTCTGATGATGATACCCACTTTATCAGAGGTTGCTGTGCGAGTAGCATAACTGCATTAAACTCCGATTACAGCTCTCTCTGTGAATCTGCAGATTTACCAACAAACCTGAAAAATAAAGGAGACGACACAGGAATGAATGAGAAAGAACATGAGGAGAAGGACAACGGGAAGCAAGGAACTAGCCACAGAGAAGAAGAGGAGAAAAATACAGGACAGCTGAGGAATAGGGAAGACGATCAAGGAGAAGATGTGAAGGAGGGAGGACCTTCTGGAGAAAAGAGAGGAACAGCCATGGCACAAACAACAGATAGAAGAAACAGGCGAGAGGACAGTGAGGGGTCAGCAAAGGATGCTGAAACAGAAACAAAAGATAGAGCGGATGGAGCGAAGGAGAGAGAAAAGACAGCAGTGCAGACACCACAAACACAGATTCGAGCCCAGACGATCACTGATATGACTGCTGAAAAGAGCCACACACTGCAGGTCATTGACTTCATGGGCGCTGAGCCGCCTGTGGATGTCTGTAAACCCTCAGACTTCACACAAAGTCTCTGTCAGAAAGTCAGTGAAAAGGATGCTGAATGCAAACATTTGAAGATCCATGGTGAGACTGGAAGAGATGGAGAACATCAAAGTGTTAGCTCTGAACAACAGGAAGTTTCAAATTTGTGTCAAAACGAGGTCCAAAGCTCAGACGGAGACACAGGATCACTAAATCAGCCTCCCACCAAGAAAGCAGGGGAGCTTTCTGCTGGACTTTCTGAACACCTGAATCAGTCAAGTACCTCACAGACAGACGATGCCGCATCAGCCGGTCACTCAAATGGTTTTCACAGCGCTGAAAACTTGGGATCACGTCAGACACATACAGAAACACGTGCTCCTTCTGATGTTATTTCAGATATGACGCAAACAGATGAAAGCTTTGATGTACCTGCGAGTGAAAAACTGGCAGAACCTGAGCAGCTGCTGGAAAGCTTAGAGCAGAAAGATGAGCAGCTGAAGTCTGGGGTAACTGTTGAAGGAAAGGGTGATCCAAGTGTAGAGAACAGAAGAAAAGATGAATCAAGTGTAGATACGAATGTCTATCAAACACCTATGGAAGAATCCCACTTAAAAGATGGCAGTGTTGATATTACGATAGGTGCCATAAGCCTTGATTTTGAGGTGAAAAGTGAGCATATAAAGCACACAGAAGATACAAAGAAGACTAAAAGTGAAACAGATCCGAAGCCGCCACTCGTTACAAGTCTGGGTCACAAGCAGCCTGAGTTAGAGTTAGGAGAGAAGCTGCTGAGTGATTCTGGCGAGTCGTCTCTGCCCAGCAAAAAGACTTACAGGCCATTATTTGAATGGGCCGGTGCCGAGAGAAGAAAGTCAAACTCCAGAACAAAGTCAGATGTCACCATAGCGCACCAGCCAATCCAGGTATTAGAATCAAAAGGTTGTAGTGTTTTCAAGCTGTGTGATGAAAATATTTACAACAGTTTCAAAAGTCATATGATGCTCATACAGGACTAACTAGCTACACTAACCTCGAGAAGTGCAGTTAATTTTAGTTTGTAATTGTAACAATTTTTTGACATTCAGATGTAGAAATGCTTTAAAGCTGTGGTTAAAATCTTGGTGTTTTTTTTCCAGGGATCTTCTCTGTCTGAGCAGAATACAACTGCTGGATTCCCAGGACATCCTGCCAGCACAATAATACCCAAGCCCCTCAAAAGCAAACACGACAATGGTGGTGGTTTATCATTTCACTAAGGAGCACAGAAACTGCTCTGATGCACGACTAGGAACATCTTACACAGTGAATTCATTGTCCGTCTGCGTTTCTTACCATTACTAATCATCATTCATTCTTGCTTTCTTGCTGTTCTTGCCATCTCACCTCATTCCTCTTAGTCCCCTTGGTGATTATGAGGGCGTCAGACCTGTTGAATGCCTCCAGTGTCTGTGGGTCCGCACCTTCCCTGAGGAGAAAGCAGCAGGGACTCTGGGAAGCAATGCAGGAGACCTGCAGAGAGAGAACAGCAGCAGATACGGTCAGTTGTTAAGAAGTAGGGAATTGCTGGTACGACACTTTAGAAGGTGGTTCGTTTATAACTGTGAGAGTTAATAATCATATATGTATGTCACAGAAGGTATTTTAAAATAGCTTGTAAAACACTAGTCAAGTGATAAAGCACAGCTCATGATTTACATACCTTTCTCACTGTGCGAGCTGCACTTTGGAAAATTTAATTTCAGCTGCTGAAGCCTGTGTTACAAGCACATTTCATCACAGTGAAGCTTTAATCGTGTTCTCTAGTACAAGTTGATGTTGAGCAGCAGGAAATGGCCTCAGTGTCGTGTTCACATAGAAATGCGTGCCCCCCCTCCCCAACTCAGAGGACATCAGAATGACCGTTATAAAAGGGTTTTCTCTGTCGAGGTCATCGCTGTTCCACAGATTCAGAGCTTCATCATTTTATAGAATGTGTCTGAGCGGAGCCCACGGGAAATTTGAGCCGGAGCTTGAATGAATATGCCCGTTACAACAGCCTGACATGTCCTCAGAGGAACTAGATATTAAAATGCTCTTTCAACATTTTTGTGGTCCTGGACTTTTAGAATGTAGGAGAACTTGTTTAACAGAGTACGCAGAATATCTGACAAAGATTTCAGAGGTTTCAAACTTTCCTGCTCTTTGATTAATGTTCGGTCAGGTGTTGACCGAATGGATGTGGCTTGATGTATGTTGAGCTCATAGACAGCCAGACAGACAGAGAACAAATGACCTGTGGAAGAAAAAGTACCTAATGATGCCTGGGTACCTCGCCTCTCTCACTCACTCAGTCTCTGGTCTCCACTCTCGCTCTGTCTTCCTCTCTCACTTCATCATTTGTCCCTCGCTCACTTTCTCCACCCTCTTGCTGTTTCACTTTTTTAAAATTCTGTTTCACTTTTTCTCTCTCACACGCTCCCAAACTCTTGTCACCATCACCGCACTGTCACCCTGTGTTTTATACTATCCAGGTGCTCGCAGTTGAGGGAGATGGGCTGCAGCATGACTCGAGTATGAGGGGAAAAAACAAACTCATCTGATAGTTTAACAAATTGTAAAGAAGACCAAAGCGAAGAGTTCTGGCTGCTCTCTCTGGGCTGGATGCAGATACAAATATCAGTTGTTTCTGCTTGTTGTCTGCCCTGAATTTGTTTATCTGTCTTTTCTTTTCTTATGAAGGAATTAAGCATTGAACTGACATTTTTGTACCAAAAAAAGATCAAATGGTGGTGATAGATTCCTGCCTTATAGGTGCTCCAGGTTGATCACAGTCTGTGGGCTTCTGCTTGTCCGCTTGATTTTCAGAATTGGCCATAGATTGCAGATCAGATTAAGATCTGGGGAGTTACTGGGTTGTGAATCCACATTGTTGATTTGATATTCCACTTTATCACTTTATCAGGACTAGATTGCGATTACTCAGGATTTGGGCTAGAAGCATGCCACAGAGAACTGAAGGAGAAGGTTGAACACTATGAATACTCACTCTTTTCATACATTTGATTCATTTGCCAGTAATAGTCCAAGTCCTATAGAAGAATGTTTGTGTTTCTTATTTACTGTATTATCTCAAACTATTACATTATAGAATAATAAATATGAAACACAAACTTTGTGTGACCACAATCACAGCTTTCTCACAGTGGATATTTGGTGATATCTACACTGTAAAAAAATATTCCGGCAGCTGGGGCACCAAAATAATACCATAAAATAACAGAAAATAACTTTCTCATAAAAATACGGTTGTTTTCAGTAATGACAATACAGTTTGTTGCCCTAATTTTACATGGGATTTTGCCTTTTTCAAGTGCTTTTAAACATTAAATTAGGAACATTTTAATGTGATTAAACAATGATATTACCTTTAAACAAGGTCAATGAATGCGGCAATATGAATAATAATACTTAAATGTACAGAAATATACAGTTAACAGTTGGTTTAAATAATAATGGATTGACTGACAGAGGCGAGGCTGCCATATTGCACCATTGGCCCATCAACAGTAGGTGGTAGGTGAAGTGTCTTGACCAAGGACACAATGACCGAGAGTGTCCGAGCCGGGGCTCGAACCGGCAACCTTCTGATCATTTCATATATTTTTCCATAGCATTATATTTGAATTTAACAGTTCAATCTTTCAAATAACGGACAAATATTTGTGAAATTATGATACGTTTGTGAATGTATTTTAACAATCTAAATATGCATATGTACAGAGAGATACATTTAAAAAACAAGAAAATTATGTTTTATTACATTACAGTGATTTTACGTTTATTTACATTTGAAATGTGAAATCACAGTTGATTTATGTAAATTCAATGATATTCTAGAAAAACAGAACAAAACTGTAAAATACACAGTAAAATACTTTTATATTAGGACTTTTTCTTACAGTGTACTGTTTGTTGTCATTTTTATGCAGGATGGCAGAGCTCCTCCGCCAAGCTGTTTTTTTCCAGCCTCCAGCACAGGCAGCAAACCGTCATGGCAAACCACTGCAGAGTGAGTATGTTTGTTCTTTAGAAAGAAGACACCAGAATTTGAACCAGAATAAATGTCAAAGTAAATAAATAATAATGGGCAAATTTCATAGCTCATATCTTTGTATCTACACACCTGAATGAAAATGTTCTTCACTAACGTTTTGGCCCATTCAGTAGTTAACAAAAGTATTGACAAAAAACAAGAGTTTTTTTTTTCTTGGTTAAAAATTATATTTTAGAAGTTTTAGAAGTATTCTTATCATCTTATTCTATTCCAGCGTTTTTCAAATTTTTGCTGTGTAACTTTGCACTGTCCACTTTCTGCTGTAACAAATCAAATTTCCCATGTGTGGGACTAATAAAGGTTATTTTATCTTATTATCTTATCTTAAACATTTTCATTTAAGTGCATTACTTCAGTCTAATGGTAAGGAGAATTTGTATAGCTTCATTTGAAATGTGTATTATTACATGATTAATAATATAATTACTGACTACAAACAAGTTCATGCTAGTGTTTTCTTTGAATCAGGTGTAGCAGAGCTCCTACCTTAGCTGCAGGACCTAGTTCAGAGTCCAACTGGGAACTCTCCTGCTCCCAGGAGAGGGACGACCAACAGGAATCATTCAGGGCGCAGATCTCCAAAATCGAACAGTTCCTCAAGACAGAGAGGCTCCGTCTGCCCAAAAGACAACGAACTGAACCAAATCTGTAGAAACTGCTGGTCGTCTTTATTCGCTGTCCTAGGTGAGACATTGTGTGGCACACGTTTGACAGTTATTGTTAGCGCAGGTTTAAATGTTCTGAAACACGATTGCTTTTTAATATATACATGTGTTACTGATTCCTTTGAACTGTATAGTTTCTTCTAACATTGCTGTTTGAAGTTTGAAGTTTTTGGGTCGAATCATTAATTCTTCACTTTATTGTTATTTTAACCTTTCTGTGCTTTAAATGGAAAACTGCAGAGTTTGTGTGTTTGTTTCACACGTGTGTATTTAAGTGAAGAGATGAAAATAAGATAAGATAGCCTTTCTAAGTGACAAATATACAATACTACTACTGCTACGTTGGTAAGATTTTATTTTATCACACAGTTGCATGTGATTAAAGTAATTTTAAAAAGGCTCCAATGTCACCAATGTAAAAATCCAATCTCTTGTAATTTAATTATATTACAGGTTTATCAGTTGTTTTCAAAATATTGTATACAAAGACTTTAGATACACCACAAGTTCCTGCAGCCTCACTGACACAACACTGACTCATCAAACCACCCAAACAGGACATCAGTATGTGTTGCATGTCTTTTACTGGAAACATTATTCACAGTAAATCATGCATTCACAGCAAACAGCTGGATAAGTAAGGACCAAGAGCGCTGTTGCCCATTAAAAGGCTGGGAACATGCTAATTAACATTAATTAGCATCACAGCCAATCAGTGTGGCATGTCTCAGAGGAGCTCTAATTGTGGAGGCACCTTTGGTCTACACCATGTTGTTTCTGCTGCTGCTGTTGTTGGAGGCAATTACAACTCTGGTTTGACTGTGTTTACACCTATTAAA